CTCGGCCCTGTCCTCTTCTGCGCGTTTGCCAACGACCTGAGCTTGTACGTCTCCGATGGACTAGTTATCCAGTACGCCGACGACACCCAGGTCTTGGTTTCCGGCCCTAAATCTGCTCTTCCAGCGCCTGCATCGCGCATGGAAAGCACCCTTTCCTCTCTTGGCAACTACTTCCTTGCGAACGGCTTAAAGGTTAACGTAAACAAATTCGAGCTCATCACTTTTGGTTCTAGACAAAATTTGCGCAACCTCCCGACGATCAAAATCAGATACCAGGACACGTGCCTGACGCCCAGCACTGAGGTCAAAAATCTTTTTTTTTTACATGACAGGTGTGGTCTTCGACCAGCACCTGTCATGGGACGCGCACGTGAGGGCTGTCTCGCGTAGATGCTGCGGTATCCTCGCAACACTATCCCACCTCCGCCACTTCCTTCCTCCTGACACCCTTCCCGAGAGTCACCGCCCTGGCCGTCTCGCACATCCGCTATTGCCTTTCTGTTTACGGCAGCGGCAGCGCTGGCAACCTCGCAACCATCCAGAAGCTGCTCAACTTTGCGGCTCGCGTGATCGCGGGAAAACGAAAGTTTGACCGCATGTCAGCTGTGCGAGACAGGCTGGGGTGGCTCGACTCGTCTCAACTCTTCCAATACCAATCCCTCTCTCTGCCTCCTTGACAAAGTCCTCTCCTCTAGCCAGCCCGAATGCATCGCCCGTCAGGTTTGCCTCAACCGGGACCATCATGGCCATGTCCGGCACACCAGACAGGACGATCTCCTGCACGTGCCACCCATCCGTTCGGAGGCGGGCCGGCGACGCTTTATATACCGCTCGCCCCACCTCATGAACGATCTGCCCATTTCGGTGCGGAACCAGCGAGGTCCGCGGTTCAGGCGAGCCCTGAAGGCCCACCTACTCTCGAGACGAGACACGTGATGAATGCGTTTTTGATCATGATGCCGTGCAGGTGGTGTTTTTTATCCTGAGCTATATGTATATTTTAGGTTGTGTAACATCGTGAGTGTGTATTTTACCCTGCATGTTATGATCCGATTTTATTGACGTGAAGGCCATAATAGCCACTTGTCTTGTGGATGCCTCTTTAATAAACTACTACTACTAGTGATTAAACGTGAATTTTTCAGTGCTCTTGCAAGAATCTTTTCTTTATTTATGTGTACCTAATCGTACTTTGTTGATGCCCTATGGCTAAACTTTCGTGAAATACATTATATTTTCCATATTTTACGTGTTTGTTTCGAGGAAAGGACTACAACTGTCAAATAATAACGTAATAACTTAGGCCAAAGGTATCAGTGGACATATCAAACGAAGATAAGACAACAAGCTATAACGGATTTCGATTAATAGGCGCATATCTTACCATAATTTCGGCTTTGTAACCAATATACAATATTTCAAAACCCTTGATAAGCAGAGCAGATATTTTTTAACCAAAAAATGTTAGTTTTCTAATTTTACGCGGCAAATATCATGCAAAAATGATGTCAATTAAACCTCTGAGTTAATGCGATAAACTGTAGTTTAGAGGTCATTGCCCTGGGCAGTAAACCCAGGCAGTAAACTTTTGTTTCCTGCCCGGCCTATCAAATAGCATGGCCTTTTGACACCGACAGTTTCTTGGTCATAGTTTTACTGCCCGGCTCGTGCTGTGCTTAAGACATACCCCGGCATGTAGGAATAACAATTAACATAGAGGTAAGTCAAAGTAATGACTAATGAACAATACATTACTAGGTACCTACCACATCACAATTCATGTTAGAATCTACATAATGATATTGATAAGACAATCTTGCATTAGACAACCATGAGGCTTTCCAGTTTCCAGCTAACACGATTGATAAACAATAAAAGATGATACTGACACATGTGGCTTGGTTAGGTAAAGGTATTTCAATCTATAGAAAGAAATATTTGATCAAATTAACTGAGATATAAACAAAAGTATACAAATATTCAACAGCCTGCGGAAGAGATGGGAAGCGAAATATCAATTGTAATGGCCTTGGATATTTACCGTAAAATGATTATTCAGTATCTGAATAGAACTCGTGACGTCATTTCAAATAACAAATGAGCTAAGCGTTCTATCTTAGAGTATAATGAAAATAAATAAAAAATCAAACTGGAAATTCAAAAGTCTGGAGTTTTTTTCAAAAGAATATTCATTTTTTCTGCCTCACATAATTTTACGATACGATTGTTTGTGAATATCATCCTTGTAGCGTTGAATTTCATGACGTAAACGTAAGCTAAAACGGTATTACATCAGGCCCTGAGCCGGGTGTGCGCCTTGCATCTTTATTTTATTCACTTTTCAAAAGAATCACAATATCTTACGTCATTAGTTTGAAGGGCCTATTACGGGGAATCTTTTGGAATCATTACGGTTTTAGTCAAATTAAGATTTTTCATTGGTCAAACGATAATGACGTAATAAAACAATATTACCAAACGTGAGCTGTGAATTTCGTTTTGTCTTTTTTTGGGAGGCTCTCTCATAACGAAAGCACAGCATGGCATCACACGTGGCACGATGCCAAAAGTAGGTAACCTGAAGAAGTTGATGCCATTTTTGAACTTGTAATTTTATTAGGAAAGTATTAGAGGTTGGTTGCTATTCTTACTAAAACGATATTGTGTTGCACATACTAATAGCTCATACGAACATTCTGGATTGGGATTTCATACCTGGCAGAAGTGGATTGTTGGATTATTTTTAACAAAACTGACCTATTTGGCTTCCAGGTTTGATTTCCTAACATCTGTCCATAGGCGGCGGAACGGGGGGGGGGTGGCACCAGGGTACAGTGCCCCCCATAGATTTTGGCATTTTAACATTAGCCCTACCGGCGTTGCATGGAAAGAATGGGACCAAAATGAAAATCTGCAGTGCCCCGCTGCCACTGCATCTGTCTGTAGTTGTACCATACTGTATCTGTCATACTGTTTGTTCATTGAATTAAAGTGGCTGTAGCTTGTTGATAAGATTGTCATCAGTGCTGCCATGAAAAAGTTACAATTGGTCACAAAAAGTAGCAATGTGCATGTTCTTGGTTTATTTTAAATGTAGTACAAATGTTGTTGATTTAAATTCAAATTTAATGATGATACCTAATGATTACAACTGGTCTTAACCATGTCCACAAGTGACAGACGGCTATGACGGCCTGGACCGACCGACGCGACGGCGGCCTGCCGACGGTGACGGCCCGCGGCCGGCCGCTCGAGGGTTCCGGCCGCCGGCGTTCGGGCACATGCGGGCGAAATGGCCGGTGACGTCACACTCGAAACAGGCGGCCTGTCTGGATATCCGTCAAGACAGCCCATATTCAGCCCAGATTCAGCCCGGATTCAGCCCATATTCAGCCCAGATTCAGCCCGGATTCAGCCCAGATTCGGGACACCTCCGATCAAGCTGAAACTCGCACACAATGTAGGCCATGACATGCCCAATCCACAGTTCAAGTCATTCGGTGGCACTCCCAGCCGTTTGACCTACAGAGGTCAGCAAAGGTCACGTGGCCCAAATTTGCACAGCAGATTGTGGCCCACCCAGTAGAGCTAGAGCGCTAAATGGCACCAATCGACTCGCCAGCATCTAATCTTACTTTCTCAACACTCATTTGACCTCTCAAGGTCATGCGATGACCTAAGGTCATTTGTGGGCTATGTCGAAAATACACTTGCACAGCAGTTTTCGAGTAGAGGGATTGACCGAATTCCAAATCAAAGCACATCATCGGGTAGCCCATAGGCCGTAGTGACTTTCCTTAAAAACCGCTTTTCGATATGTGACCCCGTTTGACCTCGGCAGGTCAAAATGTGCAAATAAACGACACTCCATACGTCGCAGCCCGGATTCAGCCCAGATACGGCACATCTCCGACCAAGCTGAAAATCGCAAAAAATGTAGGTCCTGACAAGCCCAATCCACAGTCCGAGAGGCATTCGGTGGCACTCCCAGCCGTTTGACCTACAGAGGTCAGCAAAGGTCACGTGGCCCAAGTTTGCACAGCAGATTGTGGCCCACCCAGAAGAGCTAGAGCGCTAAAAATGGCACCAATTGACTCGCCAGCATCTAATCTTACTTTCCCAACACTCATTTGACCTCTCAAGGTCATGCGATGACCTAAGGCCATTTGTGGGCTATGTCGAAAATACAATTGCACCGCAGTTTTCGAGTAGAGGGATTGACCGAATTTAGGTCAAGTAAAGACTAATTTAAAAAATAGCGAAAACGACACGTGCTGGCGAAGTCTCCAATTACTCCCCGTTTCACGATTTAAAAGAGGAAATAACAGGGAACCGCTTATCTTATTACTGACCCTGCACATACATTCATTAATTTCTTCGCTTTTACTGACATATAAAGACATACCCTTTTGAAAATTGCACAACAAGTCTGCTACTACATCACACTCCCGTGTGTCACAATGCTAATCAGCAGCGTTCACTCGGCTTGCTCCTAACTTACGATAATTATCCCGCTAGATGACATACTGTTTCTCTAATCAATCGCTGAAACTTTCAAGGAGATCGTTCAGTTGGTACACCAAAGACTATATTTTAGGGCCTTGCCAATGACAAGCATTCTAACTTTTTCACTTGACCTGGCCTGGGGACCAGAACTTAATTAAGTGACTTGGGTCTGAAAGTTTGATAGCACTTGCAGAACATTCAACAGAGCTGCAGATGGGCTTGCTATGGAGCTGCAGGTGTGCCAGCCAGGCACACCTGCAGCTCCATAGGGCGGACCTCTGCCGAGCCTGGGGCGTGTGCTGGGCGGATCAGCGACTCTCATCTTCGAGTACCTGCGGCGGGTGGGCCGTGTCGACCCCCCGGTCGACGCTGCCACGGCCGTGGCCGCCCCGGCGGCCACGGCGTGACGTGTAGAAGAAGAAGAAGAAGCTGCAGGTGTGCCGAGCCGCCGGTCCGTGGCGGCGGGGTGACGATGCGCTGTCTGTGACCGACAGGCAACTGCACGCCGTCGGCGTCAAAGGCTACCCTAGCCAAGGCGCCTTCTACTTCATGCCAGACTTCGAGGTGTGCCGCGGAGCACTGGCAGCGCGCGGCATCACCACCGGCGACCAGATGGTTGGCGCCATTCTCCAGGAGGCCGATGTCGCTGTAAGTCGGCGTGGTCAGCAGACTGTGACTACTGGTAATGGTGGCACCTGGGCGTTGTTTCATCGAAGGAATAACTTACGGCCCTCCGTCAGTTATGCAAGCATTGGCGTATTTTATGCCAATTCCGTTTCATAAGGCCGGAGACCGGAGAAAGTCACGCCATTGTAATTGAGGAGCATCATTTACGGCAAATGCTCGATTCTGGCCCAATCGATGCCATTTGCGTTTCGAAGACCGACGTAATTAACGCCAAGTAATTTATCAAGTACTTATTCGGTAGGTCAGGTCAGAATTTGCAGCGTAAATTAGGAAAAGCGTACTCGAAATAGCAACAGTCTGGTTTTTGTAGTTTTTTTAAAGAAAAATTATAGTTATGCTTGAAACGTACAGGGTGCCCAATAAGTTCCTTCTCACCTAAATTTTTCTTTTAGAGGTTTTTAAAAGCCACGCTTAATTTATTTTGTAACTGAGCTTTTGGGATTGCCATGGCAACTGTCATGTTGAAAAAAAAACTGTGAATATGCTCCACGGTAACTAATTCGTCTAGACAATTTTTTTTTTGCTAGAGAGCTCACTTCCTGTGGAGACGGCTTACGCCGCAACATAGAGGTCCCCGATACGGGTACGTCTCGGTATTTAGTCCGCACGTAGGCCATTTGCGATGGTTGAGGGTGATTGAAGCCATTCAGTCTGTAGCCAATGTCTGCCGCTAACTGCACGCACAGTCAGCAAGTGACGCCGATGATTTTTCGGGAGTCAATTGCGGCAAGTTAATGCCCTTTTTTGTCAGCTCTCAGGAGTGAGCCATGTGGCCAAAACTGTGTGGCGCCAAAGTGGCCGTCAAAAGGATCTTAACGTTAGAAAGTTGGTAAGCAGGCTTTTCAGGATGGATTACCAGCTGTCTAAGAATATTATTTCGGGGTACATAACTCACGGTCACTTGGGCTCAAACTTAACAGAGGACGCAAAACAGTCGAAAATGTCTTAAATTGGCCAAACATTTGTTTCGTTATGCCTGAGGCTAAAAAACTGGAGGGCCGATGACATCAATGTGGTCATCTGGACTACCTACTCAGTCGGTGACACACCAGGGAAATAAGCTAAAATTAGAGCGCTCTATTTATTGCTCCCGCTACTTCACCGTCTCCCATAGGGTCCTGTGTTGAGCTGGTGTCGAGGCTCTAAAAATGACGCCGATTTTTGCACCCTTCTCACGAAAACCGCTCGGACCGCCTGGAAACTAATTGTTCCGCTCTAAAAATTTCATGACCGATGGGAAAATGAACGAGGAAAAGATTGGCCCTGAAATAATTCTGAACTCCCTGTAGAACATATCGAAATATGCACTGAGAAAAAAAATTATTCCCCTGGAACACCTTTAAGGGTGTGTACCAAACTGCACCTCGCTGGGGTGTCAGACGGGTGTCACTTTTGACACCAATACAGGTGTCATTGGGAATGAAACACCGGGTGTCTGACACCCTTTTAGGTGTCTGATACCCTTTTGGGTGCACACCCAAAAGGGTGTCAGACACCCGGTGTTTGATTCCCAATGACACCTGTACTGGTGTCAAAAGTGACACCCGTCCGACACCCCAGCGAGGTGCAGTTTGGTACACACCCTTAAAGGTGTTACGAGAGTGTCCATTGGATGCCAAAAAAGGTGTCGGCACATTCTTACATTTATTGGTTCAAACAGGCATATCGCATACAATGGCATTCCTATCTTGTATACAGCAACGAACTATAAAGTACAAAAAATATGGGCTCTATATTTACGGAGAAATCCAATGAAAACTCACCGAAACACATCGGGTCCATTCACAGTGAGAAGTTACTCGCATTTCAGCAATGATAATTAACCGTCGATTATCTCCAACCAGATGTTATTCCGCAGTTCACTTGCTTTCGTTTCCATGGTGCCATGCTGTGTTGTCATCCTCACTCCAGACTTCAAATTTCACCGAGTCCCGCCCGCCTCGTCATTTGAATAAACACGGAGCAAGCTACAAATAAAAGCTAAACATTATCATGAACGCACAATCACTTGAAGAAGTACACTGCGAACAACGTTCGGCGCCACTATATCCACATAAATTCAAAAAAGCCCTGCCATCACTCACACCGCACACGCACCACGTGGCACGCCGCCGCCAACTGAAATCTAACGGCTTTCCTGCAAGGTGGCGCTTTTTGATCTTCGCATGGTTGACGCCGTGACTAGCACACAAATGACGTCACACAATGAAGCTTGCTGATTGGGTAATGATTCAAACCACTGGACCTGCTCTGGTTTCTAGCAGTGCTACGGAGTCAGAGTCGGAGTCTGATGGAGTTGGCAGTTCTGGCCGGAATAGGAGTCCATTTTGGAAGACAGAGCGGGAGTGCGAGTCACTGAAAATCCGTTAGACACCGCATCCCTGGTTCCTAACACAAGTGACGTCAGAACAATTTATGTGATGATTTAGGTTCGAATACACGACAGCTTCCAAACATTTCATGACTCATGCTGGAATGTTCCTCAGCAAATGACAACACACGTGAAGGTATCACAAGGGTATCAGATCCCTTTTAAGGAACATTTTTGTTTACACCTTTTGAAGTGTTGATGGTTTAGGGTGTTTGACACCCGAATGGATGTTGGTGTAGGACACCCATTAATGTGTCTTTCTGAATCCCATTAGGTGTGTTTAAAAGCGCGTTGCACTTGAAGGTTGTCATCGTGGTGTTGTACACCTCCATGATTCCCAAAACATTTTTGACACCAATCTGGGCGTTATATATGACACTGCAATGATGTCCGACACCCGTGAGACACCCCATGGGAATATTTTTCCTCATTTTTTTTCGCGCTGTTTTTGGTGTCAGATCCTTTTGCAAGTGTCAATGTGACACCTCTAGCAGTGTCGGACACTCTTAACATTCCGCTTCAATAAATGGCAACACCTGTGAAGGCCTCATAAGGGTGTCAGATGCTTTTAAAAGAACATTTTTGACACCTTTTAGGGTGTTTGATACCTTAGAGTGTTTGATACCCGGATGGGTGTGGGTGTCGGACACCTATTAAGGTGTCATGCTGAATCCCATTAAGGTATATCTAAACGCTCGCATGCGAACGAACACTTGAAAGGGTGTCATCGTGGTGTTGTACACCTTAATGATTCCCTAAACAGCATTTTTCAACACCAATCTGGGTGTTCGATGACACCTCCAATGGTGTCTGACACCCGTAAAACACCCCTGGGGAATAATTTTTTTTTCTCAGTGTGGCTGCAAACTAGGAGCATGTCAAAATCGACAAAACAATACAAATAAACTTACCGGGATTTTTTTATTTTCCATGCATCTGTGTATGAAATCAGTCGGTTTTTCGGAAAGATCATCTTCTGTTTAATAAATAATTCCACAATTGCAATCGAGAAAAAAAATACATTTCTGCTGTGACAACAGTTTTGGCATTGTGCCAGTAGTGTGGCGTGCGCGGTGCTGCGTGGTCGTCGGGACGGAGTTGTGAGTATTTTCGGTGTTTTAAATGGTTGATGGCCATTTGAACCAGCTTTATATTATTTCCTACAAACTTTTGCATCAAATTATTGCTTTGAAAGACCATTGAAACCCCTTATCTCTTCATGAAACACGATCATATTCATCGTCGACGAAAATGGCGCAGGACTCCATGTGCGTTTCGATCGAAATAAATCGTAAATTAAATAATACTCGATGATAAGTATCATATTCTAGTGACACATTTTCATAAAATAAGGCATAAACTTTGCAAGGAAGTCAACATTGGATAATTCGATTCTTATTTTGCTCACATATCCTTGTAGTAGTCAAATGGCATTGTTATATAAATGTAAGTATATGTTTTGGCTTAATGTTTGCTGTGAAACCACCCAGCCACTTGCTGATTGAGTGGTTTTCTGATAATTACCTGATAATCATTTCTCCTTTTCCTTAACCCTATTAGTGGCAGGGGGGTTGTTTTTATCCACCCCTCAGGTTTTTCGGGAATATCTCCGAAACCGCTGAAGTTACGATGCTGAAATTTTCTGACTTTTCCTAAAACTAAATTGGGCACATTCCCTGAAAATTTCAAGTTCATAACTTTACCAGGGGCGGCTCCAGAGCACTGGGAATTGGGGGTCCTATTCGTGAAGCGAGTCATTTGGGCGAAGATCACGATGCTGCACCAGTTTTACGAACAGTGAATGGAAGGTATCATGTGATAACATATACAAAGTTATTGTGCATCCTCTTTTGACACGTTTTTGCTATAATAGGCGGATCCAGGCGTCCAAAAAGGGGGTTATTTTTTACCTCCCAACATAGGTGCCCTGACACCGCTTATGCATGACCAATACAATTTTAGTCGTTCTCTCATAGGAAAATTGTAACATAACAAGACCATTGCCACCCTTTTTAGAAACAGTACCAACAAAAACCTTATTTACTATACTTTTTGTGTACCCCCAATCTCAATGATCTGTATCCGCCTATGATTTTTGAAAATGCATATTTTTAGGATCCATGTGAATTCCTGGTTCATTCTCTATCGATCGGCAAAAGTTGCGTTAAGTTTGGTTCAGAAACCTGGCCGTGATAAACAGTCTAAAATGTATCTGCAATTTGCCCGTTTTTACCCCCCTCTACCCCCCTATTGACATTTTTTAATTTTATTTTTTTTTTTAGAAATGTAGATCTCGTTGAGCGAAATCGAATGCCGTTTGAATTTTGAAAATCGGCCCGATAGATCTCGAGATATCAAGGGGGGGGGGGCGTAAACAGCCCCCTGCCACTAATAGGGGTAGCCAGGAGCCTGCCACTAATAGGGTTAAAAGAAACTAAAATCATTTTCAAAGTAACCCATTTTTAGGAAAGGCGGCTTGCTCATTGACATTTCATGTTCTTGTTTTGTTATTGCTGGCAGTATTTTGATACAATAATGCAATATGAATTTTTTGCAATAATAAAACTTTTTTTTGCAATAATAAATTTTT